TTATTTGAGTGAAAACTTGGAGATCTGCCTGCATAAACTGAAATGTTATTATATCCATGACATAATATAATGTACATTTTCCACCATAGGATACTATTGGTTGGAAATATGTGGAAGAGGCCTTCACCTTGCAGTGGATATATAGATGATGATGATGATGATGATGATGATGATGATGATGAATGAATGAATACACACACACACACACACACACACATACACACATATATATTTTTATATATTATATATATATAAACATTTTTGAGACCAACAACTTTAACACCAGAACTATTAAATGCATCAAGTATACAAATAATAACTGAAATAACAACTGAAATAATCAATAATGAAAACTAAGTTTTGCAAATACCACTTTCTATCCACCAAATTAAGGACCATGGTGTGGTTCTTAAGGCCAGTCAAGTTCTTTTGGCACATGAGACAATCTCACAATAGTCTCTTCATTCCAGAGTGGTAGAAATGCAGTAATGATAAAATATTTTCCCTTCCCTTACATGACAGCCAGTTTGGCTGGCTGAGGCAGCTGCCTTCCTATCCTAAGAAGAGAGCTGTTGCTGAGGTCTGTATAAGAATTTAATGTATTTGAGATAGATGAGAAGGCTGACAATTGTCTGCTGTGTCCACAGCAGGCACTCTGGCAGCAGAATTCTCTGAATAAGAGGTAGGCAGGAAAGCTAGTGGTAAAAGCACTTCTTTATTTTTTTTAGTTAGATTGTTCATAATGCAGGTCTCTGCTGGGATGATCAAGAGGGTATATGAAAAAAAATATAAAAGCAGGCAGAGTTTCAATTGCACTATCACAACATCCATCTTGTCTTTTCTACCATACTCTCCGGACACTCCTGCTTTATAACAATTCTTAGGTATTGCAATATGACCATATTTAGATGGCCTACCTTATTGTCTTTGGCAAAATCTTGCACTGGCTTCTCAGTGCGCTTCTAATGTTGCCTGTAGTCTCCAGCTGCATTCTGGCCTATAGTCAAAAGCAGATCTGAAAGACAATAATTTTTTACCTGTATATTTTATTAACTTATTGGGAATTACTTACTTCTACTTTAGAAAATATTATTGAAACACTAAGCCAGTATTAATCATGCTTGTCTGATTAGTCTCTTTTCATAATTCAATGAAGACTAGTTCTAATGCATGTGTATTATTTTATTTAATTTCCAATTTTTCTCCTTAAATCTCTTTGGAAAATGTGAGAATTACTGACTAGCTGATGGCAGAAATGCTCAAATTATGGAAAGGTGAGGTGTTTATCTTGTGCTGTAGAATCCCTTTCTAGTAAATCCCCTGACTTCTCAAATCCATGTGGAAATCTTCACATGACCCTTTCAAACAAGGAAATGTGGGCCTCCTGGAAAGCTTCAGACTGCAGGAAAGATGCACAACAGAGCTAGTATTGTCAGCTTCAGCAGTCCAATAAACTCAAAAACACCGCCAAGAGGAATTTAGAAGAAATGTTCAGGCACTGAAGAAATTGATGGAAACACAAAAGCTTTGAGAGACTATTTTGTAGCACAAAATACTGTAGGACAACATTATTCGGGTGGCTAGAAACACAAATTTACTGTAGCAGCCATGCCTTTATCTATTTATGCGGCCGCGCGGGTGGTTATGGGCGCAACTCGTTGTGCCCATGTGACACCCCTCCTGCGTGAGCTGCACTGGCTCCCAGTGGTCTTCTGGGTGTGATTCAAGGTGTTGGTTACCACCTTTAAAGCGCTCCATGGCATAGGACCCGGGTACCTCCGAGACCGTCTTCTGCCACCAATAGCCTCCCACCAACCAGTTCGCTCCTACAGAGAGGGTCTCCTCCGGGTGCCATCGGCCAAGTTATGTCAGCTGGCGACACCCAGGGGGAGGGCCTTCTCTGTGGGAGCCCCAGCCCTGTGGAACAAACTGCCCCCGGAAATACGTAAGATCTCCGACCTCCGGGTGTTTCGCTGCGCACTGAAGACCCTGTTGTTCCGCCAGGCCGGACTATCAACATAATAGTTTTAAATTGGGGTATTTAAATTTTGGGGGGTTTTAAATCTGAGCCAAATTTATTTAATTATTTTAAATTTTAATTGCTGTTTTGTCTGTGTTTTTAAATAGGCTGTATACCGCCCTGAGTCCTTCGGGAGAAGGGCGGTATAGAAATAAAATTATTATTATTATTATTATTATTATTATTATTATTATTATTATTATTATTATTATTTTCTGACTCCTTGTTTCAGGTGGAAATGTTTTCAAAAAATGGGTAAAGCTATTTTAAACATTCATATTTGTTTCATAAGACTAAACCACTACATATGAACTTATTTAAAAATGCAAAAGATAGGTGGATTCACAACGAACCAATTGTGACTTTCTTTAGATTTCTGTTCGTTTGAGCATATGTTGCTTTGTAACAGCACCAACGAAGATTATAGTTGAAAATAATTATCTAGAAAATAATGCTCTGCAAAATCTCAACTGTTCAATATCCCCTCAATAATAAATGACATAGAAAGCTATTGCCCATTTTTGCTTTCTTTCTTCAATTTTTGCTCATGGACACTGACAAATTGACTTCCACATTTATTCATTTGGGAAGGTAACAAGAGGAAGATGTGGTAGCAGATGGCAATGACTCTCATTCCTAGAGAGGCAGCCTTGTACCTGGTACTTTAACTGCTTGACCGAACTGGCTTTTGCATATCATAGATGCAATAGACGCAATTTGTTTATAAGACTTGCAGGTGTTCTCCTGATTACAAAAATATATAAAAATTTGATGGAATAGTGAATATCTCTCATGCTGAATTTGATTAAATTTGACTGATAGTTAAATATTTATTTGTTTGTTTGTTTGTTTCAGTTTGGGTACCACCTAACTCCAAACCAACTCTGGGCAGGTCGCAATATAGTAAGCAGTAAAAACACAATACAAAACAAAATAGGAATCCTAGACTCTTGATACAAAAACATCTACCTCTCTATATAGCATTGATAAGACCACACTTAGAATACTATATTCAGTTTGGTCACCCCAATACAAAAAAGATATTGAGACTTTGGAAAGAGTACAGAGAAGAACAAAAATTATTAGGGGCCTAGAAGCATATGAAGAACAATTTCAGGAACTGGGTGTATCTAGTCTAGTGAAAATAAGGGCTGCCACAAGGAAGAAGAGGCCAACTTATTTACCAAAGCACCTGTAGGCAAGACAAGAAACAATGGATGGAAACTAACCAAGGAGAGAAGCAACCTAGAACGAAAGAGAAAATTCCTAAGAATGAAAACAATTAACCAGTAGAACAAATTATCTTCAGAAGTTGTGGGTGCCCCATCACTGGAGGCTTTTAAGAAGAGACTGAACAGCCATTTATCAGAAATATTAGGTCCTCTGCCAAGAGCAGGGAGTTGACTAGATGACTTTCCAACATCATTACTATTACATAAAAACACATTTAGCAGGAGGTCTCCATTCATTCTAACCCAAGCCTAGGAGAAGAACCAGGTCTTTGAGAGCATACAGAATGCTGAAAAAAAGGCAGACTTCCTGGGTCCCAATACATGGCACTATTGAAAAAAACTCAGAGTATATCTCCTCTGCTGGCTCATACCAGCCAGAGAGAAGCCATAGGAAACAGCCAATTAGGGAGTATATCAGATGAAAAGGTTGTTCTTGTACTCTGAGGAAACTATAGGTTAATTCTTATAGTATCTGCAGTGCACGTATGCAAACACTGATGTGAATCCAAACAGTACTTTTCTTTTTAAAAAAAAATCCACCAAAACTATATTAATCTGTCCTCCATTTCATTAAATACATGTTTCATTGATGAGTAGCATCTAGGGAATTATATTTGCATGAATCCACAATTGTGTAGACTTTTCCACATAGTTAGAATTCAGTGTCTTCTTTACATTTAATTTGTTTAATTTTAGTTTCATTTTTCATTGTCTTCCTTGACTTTTCTTACTAGAGCTTGCAAATCCTTTGCATTTTCTGCTATCAGAGCCATATCATCAGCATAGTTATTGATATTTCTTTGAAATCCAATTTAAAACAATTTCTAATATTTAATATTAAAGATAGTAAGTACTTTATGGCAATAGAAATTGTTTTGGAAATCCTGTACTAAAAACTCCATATCCATCAGTAAAAAGGACTAAAATAAAAGGATCTCAGAAAGAAAGAAAAGATTCTTAATTAGAATTTGGTGCAGTTGCATTTAATATTATAATAAAAAAAAAATTGCCAAGCTGACAGTATTATTAACAATCTATGTCAGTGATCTCTACTATTGAACAGGAAATTGAAATATTTTTACCAGATGATCTTCCCACTGTGGCATAGCATTCATTTCTCATAAGGATATCATCTTGATGTCAGAAGCCAAAGACTTGAATATAAAAAAAGGAACTCTGGTAGAGACAATTATTTCTTTGCTTTGGAAAAAAAAATGTTTGGTTTGTGTTTCCCTGGGGCTTCATATTGTGTGGCTGTTGACATACTCCTAATTTGGTTTATGAAGGGTAAAGCTATGAATGACACAACTGTAACAGTTTATGAGATCACTTTATGCTTATGCTCCATGATTTCTACTGTGCATGTGTGAGTGAGCTATAAAACTAATGTTTTTATCAGGAGTATGTGAACATATAAACATTCAGAAGACATATGGCCAATAAATAATTCAAAGGCATCTAGCTCATCTGTAGATTTCTTACATATCTACCATGTTTTAAAGTCTAGTAGGATTGAAAATAATGCTTTTTGTGACATATGTTTAGAGAATGGCAAAATGTGAAAGTGGCAAATGATATTGCCTTGAAAAATAAACCTCATTTTGTTATGTCACAACATTTGGATGAAATAGCAGTCCCAAGGAGTAACTGCTAGACTTTAGTAAAGTACATCCTTAAGCTCATGATATTAGAGTCTTTGCTATGTGAGAAAATTCATTATTTTTCTCTCCCTTTTGTTTTTATTTCAGTTCAATATCAATTTACAGTCCCAAGGAGAATCCCAACACCTTTGATGCTGCTGCCTTCTTCCAGTCAGTGGGGAATTTTTTAGGGATCTTTGCTGGATCTTTTTCTATGGGCTCTGCCTATGCAATTGTCACTGCACTAATATCCTTTGTTACTAAACTAGACTATGTTTGGAAGATCAGGTGCTGTAAAATGCAACCATTTCATGTTTCATATTTAATAAGACTCTGTGTTTTAAGATTTTAGAGATGCCATATATATAATCCTTTTGGCTCTATAGTCGTTTTTGTCAAAAGTTGCACTGCAGATGAGCTTGAATGCATATGCAAATTTGTTAATCTGACCATTGGCAGTATTAACAGATGGAAAGAATGAAAATGAGGATAAATAGCCTTCTATAACCATCTTCCTGCTTAAGTTGTACATGATTCATTCATTTATTTCTTCTAATGACATAACTTAGTCAGTATCTATATCGGGAATTTGTACAAGCCATAGTTAAAAGACTGGATAGCTTAAAGCAGGGGTGTCAAACTTGCGGCCTATGTGCTAGATGCATCACACACTGGCCACGCCACACCAGTGGTGAAATCTAAAATCTGTTACTACCAGTTCTGTGGGCCTGGCTTGGTGGGCGGGGGGATAATGTGACTGGATGGGCATGGCCGACTTTTTTTTTTTTTTACTTTTAAAACCATTTTTTCTACAATCTCTTCTGCCAAGAGGTTGTAAAAAAAATGCTTTTAAAAGGCTCTGATGACCCCAGCTGAGTTGCCTGATCGTCAGAGGCTTTTTTTCTTTTAAAAGCCTCTGACGATCCCAGCTGAGCCGTGCGATCATCAGAAGCTTTTTTTTTTTCTTTTAAAAGTATTTTTTCGACCGAAGAGGTTGTAGAAAAAATGCTTTTAAAATTTTCTTTAAAAGCCTCTGGTGGTCGCACGGCTCAGCTGGGCATGGCGGGGCAGGGATTTTTGCTACCAGTTCTCTGAACCACCCGCCTCCATCGCTACCAGATCAGGCGATCCTGTCCGAACTGGGAGCATTTCACCCATGCGCCACGGCCCCCGATTTAGCGAAGGGGGGGAGTTGCAATATGTCATGTGACAACAACATGATGCAAGTTTGACACCCCTGGCTTAAAGTAAATATGTTAGTAACATATTTACTAACATATTTACTCAGCATCTGCAACAAACTAGACATTTAGAGTATATAAAACCAAGACAGGTTCCTACATTTTTTTGGTTTTCTTCCTTGCGCTCATATTTCTCTTTTCTTTCAGGGCAGCTTGTCAGTGAATGTCTCCTGTGGAAAAGAATGACACATTTTGCCTTGAATTTGAGCTTTAAATTTAGAAGAGTTTTAATGAGTAAACAAAAAAAAAAGTTCTTCTAGGAGGCACTTTTCTGTAGCAGTGTAGAATAAGAGCTATTGCTATAAGAGAAAGAGGAGTTAACAATTTATAAGTAACCGGTTTTTGCCCCTGTGGCGATAAAATGCTCAAAGATAGGACAGTTCTTGGAGGAATGTGAGCAAGGAACAAAGCGTGTGTTCCCTTTATGGAGTAAATTGCTACTCCAGAGTAGCAATTTACAGCATTACCTAGACATCACTGTACACATCACTGTGTAGTGTAAAGCTTTCTCTATTAACAAAGGCTGGTTTATGCTATAAATTGCTAATGCAAAAGATCTTTTGTCTGTCTTCCACGTCAATATACAGCCTCACCAGCTTCACTGCATTATTTTAAAAAAGCAATAAAGAATCACATAGATAGCACCATAAAGACTTTATTACCACTTTCACTTTCCCAGATCACAGTCCACTTCATTAGATACAAATGGTCTGTGATTCAGGAAAGGGAAAGCTACAGAACTCTCTATGATGGTTTGCTTGTTTGCCACAAAATACTAACAAGAACACCTGTGGAAACTTTTTTTTTTTAAGTCCCCTCAAAAATACAGTGATTGTGCCTTTATCCTCTATTAGACAAATTAAAACATTTTTATGCCAATACACATGGTTTTTTTTCCCCATCCTAGTTTAGGAATATTGTTTTTTCGAGGTTGACATTTTTGGGTTATGTCATTAGCACCCTGAAAAACAAAGTGATTTTTTAAAAAAATAAGAATAAAAATATAATTATAGGGTCACTGAGGTTAGAAAATATTTCACAGCCTTTGGGTAAATTATGTTTAAATAAACAATGTAAGGCTGTGAAATTTAACTGACATTTGCAAAAGTTCTTTCTTTCACACATCCTGTATTCTTTCTTTGCTGGATGAAGTAGCATGGAAATCTGACAGGTATTTGAAAGAATCATATAAGTTTAAAAAACATATAGAAAAGAAGGTATAACAAAGCTTCAGAGGCAAAAACCAGATTCTCCCAAACTCTGCATCAGCATAAACATATCCAGATCCATAGCTTTCCAAATATACTCTCATAACAAAGGTTGTTTTTTTTTACAATAGTTTGCATATTGCCAAAGGCCCTGCTATTTTGTTAAATAAAAATGCAGAAGCTTGCTAAGTGATTCACTAGTGAGAATTTTAACACGCTATAGAAAGAATAAAAATAATTATTCCTTGTAACTGTAGAGTGGATAATACATGCCACTTTTTAAAATCCAGACTTAATAACCTTAATTAGTACATATCATAGAAAAGGGTTTCTATCAAGTTTAATCTTCATCTACAACAGTTGCATAGATACCCCACTTCAGTCAGCAGAAACAATCCAAACATATTTTGGGTAGCTTGAATATAAGATGTCTCTGAACTGACTCAGTATTGTACCTTATTGACCACCAGATCATACTAAATTACAAAGCTTCTTCACCTTGGAATAGATCAATTTTATTAATACAGTCAAATAAATGTCAGAAAGCTCTTACAATCTCCTGAATATCTCCAGCCTGTACCACTAAAATTGAGTGGCAAAACTGCCAATTTTCAGAGGCATGATTTTCGGCTCTCTGCCATAGAAAAGTGTGATAAGTTTCTATGGGTTGTTAATGCACTAATTTTTAATTTAAACATGAGCCAAAAGTCAAAAGAGCAAACAGGCCACATACTCAGTGACATTATTGTATCTTCATATAAAGTGCTTACTTTACACTTTGCCATATTGCCTTGGGCAATCAGCTGAGTTAACATGAAGGATCCTAAATAATATATGCAACATACTGCAGAAAATAACACAATGGAATGAAATTATTGTCTCCAGATAAAATGTCTGTATGTAATATTTCTTCCATTGATTTACTAAAATCTTAATATGCCTATTTTTACTTTTTAATTTAACACTAAATAGGCTCCACTAAGCTAGCAATGACCTTCTCTTGAGCTTGAAATATTATAATCCTGGAGCTCATTCTGAGTTGATCATCCTGTTTGCCATTTAACTTTACAACAGATTTATTTCTATGACCTGAAAACATTGTAAAGCAAAGTTAAACTAGATTTAGGAATTATATGAATAGAACTAATGAGGGGAAATTAAAGTTATATCTGTCCAAATCAGTGATATAGTCAATTATTTCAAAGCATGAACTGTTATAAACATAGCCAGGAATACTTTCCTTGAAACTGCATGTGAAATAAATATTCATACAAACATAATTAATTAAGTTTTTCCAGTAGACTGTCAAAAGGATAAACTTGTTGGAAATGGAAATTATTTATCACTGCAAGTTATTTTAGAATAGAATAGAATGAATGAGCTCGAAGGGACCTTTGTAGCTAAAATATTTCTTTTCTTAAAATTCAAAATGAAATTATCCACAGCATGAATAATTTTGTGACATGGTCAAGAATATCTTTCCAAGAAATGAGAAGAGTTTTGTCTTAATTTTGCATGCAATCAGAATTCTGAGAAAGAAAAAGACTCATACAATACTTACTCGCATTGCACCAATTGGATTTATATTTTTCCACAGACAATGGATATATGAATTGGTCTACATTACATCAAACATTCACTGTTTGATGTCTCTATCATATTAAAAGATCCAAAGCCACCAGAACATCTACAAAAGGGGCTCCAAATTATAATGTAACAGTTGTGGGCTGCATAGGAAAATATCATCATAATTAATTTAAAATTATAGTCGGCTGGGTGCCGTCGGCCAGACAATGTTGGCTGGCGACCCCCAGGGGGAGAGCCTTCTCTGTGGCGGCACCTGCCCTCTGGAATGACCTACCCCCAGAGATACGCACGATACCAGACCTCCGGACTTTTCGTTGGGCCCTGAAAACACATCTATTTCATCTAGCCGGGCTGGCTTGATCCCATCCTTTCGGTTTTAATTTGAAATTGGTCTTAACTGAGTTGTTTTAAATTGAGGGCCGAAGTTATTTAATGTCTTTCAAACTGCTTTTAAATTTTATATGTTATGTTTTATCTCAGCTGTTCCACGCCCTGAGTCCTGTTGGAGAAGGGCGGTATAAAAATAAAATAAAATAAAATAAAATAAATAAAAATAATTGCATTTAAATTAATTAGAACCCAATGGAATCTAGTTCCATACATGAACATAGGCATAACACTCACTTAACAGTATGACTCTCATGTACCATATCCACTGAAAAGCTGACTACAAGCCTTAATACAAATAATATTACAGCTCTGGTCTCAGTCAGAAATGTTTAACTGCCATCCCTAATTGTTCCAACCAGCATTAGCAATGATTAAGAATTTCCAGTAACTTATATAAACTCAATCAGTTGTTGAAGAGAATTTATGATAAATTAGTGGCCCTCTTAATTTTTACTTCACTTCTTCAAAATAGTGCTGAGTTTATGTGTTCTTGTCATACTGGTACCTAATGTTACAAAATCAAGTCTGACAAACTAAAACAATTGCTCTTTTTCCTTAGCTTTATTTTTCCTTTAGCACTTGACAAAGTTTACAAAACTGTGTGAGTTCCCCATGTTGGAAACTGGCTTGTTTTTCCTATTATCATGGAGTGCTTTCTTGTCTGCTGAAGCTGCTGGCCTTACAGGTAAGTATTTCTTGCCATTGAGGTAATTAAGGGATTCAGTTTTCTACTGTAATATAAGATATGTATGAAATCATACAAAGATATGTGTGGAATTTGTGTACTTTGGTGGAGTGTTCAACAAAAATGGAGAAATGGTTGGAGAGATTTTAGGAGGTAAAAATACTGGTAGAAAAATAATACGTAGTACTGTGTAGTTTGTTGAGAAAATGAATATTAATCAAAAACAGCAACAATGGTTGTGTGGGTAAAAAGATATATTTTTCTATTTTGTTATATGAATGTAAAGCTTCATGTAAAGCTAGGAAAAACTTATAGATGAATGAAGTGTATTAATGTGCTAATTAAAACATATGGTAAAGAAAGAATCAATACAGTAAAGAATGAATGGCTATTGAATGAATGTGGACTGAATGCAAAAGTGACAACTATTATGAAAAAAGCTTGTTGACTTTATGTGATCATACTGAGAATGTAAATGACAATTGATTTAAATAAAACATATAAAAAATGAATGGACCAAGAAATAGGGGAAATTGAGAATCCTATGAATCAATTTCATGAGTTCCTCAAAAGGAAAATGTGGAAAAAAATAAGAAAAAAAAGGCAATGTGTGAACCAGTGTAGGAATTTTGTGGAAGCAAGGATGGTTTGCAAGATTAGAAAGTTATTGTGAGATATAGTGTTATTAATATTATCAGTTAAGTTTCCTTTTACTTTTCTTATCCCATGCTTTTGAATTTACTGTTTCCTTTTTTTTTAATGTCTCTCTCTCTGCTCTATATAACATTGCTAATCACAAAAACAGAACAATATGATTGGAATATAGTTGTATTTTGTGTGTGGTTTTTTAAAAATGTTTGAAGGTTTTTATTTAAAATCTGTCATTAAAAGATACTATAGTTTTCTATGATAATTTTATTGCTGGACATATGGCCTCTCTAAGCATAAAGTTTCATTTTTAGATCTTAGGATAAAACTATGCGGTATATAATTGGGAGATACCATGTTTTCACACTTAAGTGACATACTGAAGTTTTTTCTTTGATATGATTTAGAACCTTTTTCCTGTTCATTTATATATATGGAATAACAGTAATTTTAATTGTTATAATGCTCACAGATGGGTTTTACAATTATAATTTTTGTAATTTTTTTTTAGAAGCCAAGGTGTGAATATTCCAGATGCAATTAGAAATATTTTTTAAAAAAAGAAATCATACAGAAACTTACAACCTGTTATTAATTTCATTGGAAAGAAATTGCTCAAATTATTGCAAGTAATTATCTTTTCCAGTTTGTACAATAAAATTTAATGTCAAATGTTTGTGAATATAGGAAATACTGTAAATGCATAGTGTTATGAAATGGCTTCCAGCTGGATTCTTCTGGAATCTTTAATCATTAGCACCTTTCATATGCTACATATTTTACACATGTAATTAATTCCTTGATAAGTGCTATTGGAAGAGAATTGGATAGTCTTTGACAGATAGTATACTTGAGGATTAATATGTATATTAGATTTGTGGAGGAGAGTTTATGCCTATGATATACAACCAGAGAGAATTATGATTCTCCTGCTCTGTTCTCCATGGGACTTAAAAAAAATCATTTATCGCTTTTAAAATCCTTTCCAGTAATAGTTCTTTTTATTCATGTTTTTAAGGAAGTGTTCCTTAAAGCTTTCAGCTTGTCGATCAAAAGGTCAGCAGTTCAGCAGTTCGAATCCCTAGTGCCACATAACAGGGTGAGCTCCCGTTACTTGTCCCAGCTTCTGCCAACCTAGCAGCTTGAAAGCACATAAAAAATGCAAGTAGAAAAACAGGGACCACTTTTGGTGGAAAGGTAACAGCGTTCCGTGTGCCTTTGGCATTTAGTCATGCCTGCCACATGACCACGGAGACATCTTCGGACAGTGCTGGTTCTTCGGCTTTGAAACAGAGATGAACACCAGCCCTTAGAGTTGGGAACAACTAGCACATATGTGCAAGGAGAACCTTTACCATTATTTTTATTTTATTTTCATTTCTCCCTGAATTCACAATATTCTGAATTTATAATTCAATTTTCTCTATAGAATCTACTACAAAATAGAAAGCTCATTGTTCATACATGTGAGATTGGTTAAAGGGAATTATAATACATTAGCAACATAAATATGTAAAATGTATCTTTATTTAGAACAAGGTTCAAAAGTTGGTATTCAGATATCATGGTAAAGTATTGTGTCCCTATATGACTGCCTGAAATGTTTCACTCAGTCACTTTCATGATGTTTTTTTCTGGAGTTTTCAGATGAAAATCTACAAGTACTGTCAAGCTTGCCAGTTTCCACTGGCACACTCAGTGGCACAGTTCAGTTGACACAAGCCTGAAAGCAATACTCTGACATCCAGTTGTGTGAGACGTTCTAATTAAAACACTTCATAGAGTGATCTTGCCACCTTGGATTTGGCAGACTTGCCCAGAAGCACTTTCAGGTTATTTCCAGAGAACTTTTCTTACCCAAAAGAATCAGTTAAAAATTCCAGAGCAATATATTTTTTATATATATAAATAAATATTTCTGTCAAATATTTTTAATACAGTTCTTGATTGTAAGATTTAGGATATAGTTGAACCTCTATCATTTTCTTTCTTCCAATCATTTGTGGAGTCCAGAACAAATTATTTTTTGTTTTATTCTTTGATGATAAACCTCAGCTAAAAATACCAATAATCATTCCAATCAATTGACTCCCATGATTAGTCAACAGATTTTTCATGTTACATATTTAGTACATTATTTGTTCTTCCATGGTGGCAATCAATACGGCATATCAGAAGTAATGGAGTTATAAATAACTTAATTGCTTAATCATAAGTAGCTTTAAGTGGATTAGACCTGAAAATCAACATCTTGGTCAAGTTGAGAAAGCTCTAGAGTAGGAAATCAATGTGTCGATACATTTAGCACGTCTAAGATTCAAAAGCAAACACACATCATTCCTAAATTCTAAAAACCAAATCAGACAAGGAAAAGTAAAACCAACATGAAACCTAGATTATAAACTACCTTAAGTCAATTAATGTAATTATAATTATTATGTAGTTTATAGTATAATTTTAATTTACTGTAACAGAGATCAGGTCCAGGGCTTTAAAGGAATAAATGTGATCCTATGTGGTCAGCTTAGCAATTTTTATCTAGAATTGGATAAATGAACATTATGTGCTAATTCTAGATCTACATGAAGCTTCACTCATCCGCTGCTTGTGCGGTCCAGTTCCTAACAGGCTGTGGACTGGCACCAGTGTGTTGCCTAGGGGTTGGGGACCCCTGAGCTATATTCTTGGAATGCTATGTTGAAGAAGCAGCTGTGGGAGTTGCTTTTTGTGGGTGAGGCTAGGCAATTAAGTTGATAGATAATTTGTTGGCTGGGACCTGTGTTTGAAATTGCGATGGCAGGGTATTTGGGAAACCTGAAGGTAGACTGGAACAGGCCATAATATTCAGATGATGACAGGCAGAGGAAGATATGGATACAATCATGGGGTGTCTACATATGGGAAGGCAGTTCTGCTATCTTCAGTTGATTCTCCCTCTGGTCTCCAGAATTCATACTCCAGAATCCATACTTCTGAAGTAAGGTCATTGAATCCTCAGTGATCCCAACCTCCAACTAATGATGACAAATTATCTTATCCTTGATGAGGCATTGACTTGGCATGTTTTACCAAGTTTTCAGGGTCTTCCCTTGTAGGTTCAAGCCCAGTCCAATCATGAGACTGAGCTGGAGGGTGGATATCACTGGGAAGCATTAATGGCTTCCAGTAATATCACTGGGAAGCATTAATGGCTTCCCAGTGATATAACTTAAAGAGAGACCCTTTGTTAAAGTTGGGCTATAGGCATCAGTTGGGTTTATTGGGTTGGGTTTATTATATACTGTATGTATCCAGGGGCCTGGGTTTCAGAGACAATATGAAAATTTTGCCAAGAATTTAATGGGTGGTTTGACAAGGCCTTGGAGTGGATGGAGGTTTCTTTTTGGTGATGCCTCTACTTGGAATTGTATTCATATTGCACAAACCCTGACATAATTTATGCAAGTCTTAAGGACCTGGTTCTTCTTCCCTAAACCGACATGTTGTTTTGTTGAATGTTTTATACAATTATGCCTGGTTTGGCCATATTGCAGAGGAGGGAGTATTATTGGTTGCTTTTATAATAAATAAATAAAATAAATAAATAAATAATTTTATTTCTATACCGCCCTTCTCCCGAAGGACTCAGGGCGGTGTACAGCCAATTTAAAAACACAACACACAACAATAATTAAAAATTAAAATAATTACATAGATTTGGCCGATTTAAAACCCCAAACATTTAAAATACCCCAATTAAAATTATTAAGTTGATAGCCCTGCCTGGCGGAACAACAGGGTCTTCAGTGCGCAACGAAACACTCGGAGGTCGGAGATCTTGCGTATTTCCGGGGGCAGTTCATTCCACAGGGCTGGGGCTCCCACAGAAAAGGCCCTCCCCCTGGGTGTCGCCAGCCGACATAACTTGGCTGATGGCACCCTGAGGAGACCCTCTCTGTGGGAGCGGACTGGTCGGTGGGAGGCTATTGGTGGCAGAAGACGGTCTCGAAGGTACCCGGGTCCTATGCCATGGAGCGCTTTAAAGGTGGTAACCAACACCTTGAATCGCACCCGGAAGACCACTGGGAGCCAGTGCAGCTCGCGCAGGAGGGGTGTCACGCGGGCACAACGAGTTGCGCCCATAACCACCCGCGCGGCCGCATTCTGGACCAGTTGGAGCCTCCGAGTGCTCTTCAAGGGGAGCCCCATGTAGAGAGCATTACAATAGTCCAGCCAGGAGGTGACAAGGGCATGAGTGACCGTGCGCAAGGCGTCCCGGTCCAGAAAGGGCTGCAACTGGCGGATCAGGCGAACCTGATAAAAGATCCCCCTGGCCACGGCCGTCATATGCTCTTCTAAAGACAGCCGTGCGTCCAGGAGGACACCCAGATTGCGAGCCTTCCAGGGTTGGTTGGAGTGACTGGCTGTAAATTTAATAAAACTTAAAACTTCATTTCATTTGAAAGATTCATTCAAAGGAAAACCAAAGCCGCCAACAATTCAATTGCTTATATATTAATAGAACTTTCTTAGCAGATTAGGAAATATATTGCCTCATTTACATTATGACTCAGAGATGTCATTGTAGCAGTATATTTGCAGGTTATTCTGCTGGTTCCTTTCTCCTTGGTCACATGTCATCTTTTGCAGGGGTAAAGCCATCCTTCAAACATATAATGCATAATAAAATATATTTATATAATACAGTATATCTATCATCTTTAAAATTTGCACTTATCAAAAAAGGGATTACAGATGATATTATTTTCAGCATCTGAAAATAAATTCTTCACAAAACCATAAATCTTTTTATTTTCAGGTTAGGCAGAGCTACTTTGTATGTAATCAACAATTAAATAAGAATATTATATCTGCAGCCACAATTTTATTTCTCCAAGTTGCACCAATCAATTCAGCATTTCAGCATTTCTTTAAAACTGAACTTTTAAATTTTTTTTGCTGGAAAAGAACATCTTAGTAAGAAATTGTTTCCAATGAAGGAATTATTTTTAATTCCAGATAGTGAAGGCCTCCTCTAACTTTTAATGAGAAGGGAGCCAATGAATATTTTTTTTCTTTTAACAATTGCTATGTAAGCAATAGCATTTTGAAATAAAAGTTGGATAATGTCAGAAGAAAATTGAATGTTTTCACTAATAAAATTTTCCAAGAATATAATGCAGTTGAGAATCCATGGTAATGCGATTTTATCTATAAAAGCAAATTCTAGCTTTTTGCACATTTTAAGTCTCTCTGTTGTGCAAACTCAATTCCAAAATGCAATTTTATACATATTTCCCTGAGAAGAGAGCCCAGTGGAGTTAAGAGACTTATTTATGGCTGGACAATACCTAATTGGTGTGTACAATAGAAATTAATCTTGGTGATATTTTTTTCAATACAATCAATTTGTTATGGAATTTGCTTGTTTCTAAGAAAACAAGCTGAATTGTTGCTTTTATTCTGGAATTATTGACTCAATTAGCATCAACATCTGAGAAAAGCACCTCCAGATTGCAAAATTTTTATTTTACAAGACAGCAGTCCTTCTCTTTGTCTGTGTTGATAATGTTACAGCTAGAAATATGAGCCCCAATTTACCAATTGATGTATTATATTGTTAGGTGACATCCTGATAAGAAAAGTCTGCCAGATTTCTTATCTTTCACACTGCAAAAGACTGACACAATTGAGAATATACCAGATTAGGATAGTATCATATTAAAGATCAGTGTTGTATTTGGATGATTTCACAACGAATAGTTAGACCAGGGATGGACAAGTAATTTTCCCAACCGGCCACATGAGAAATGGAGACTGTTGTGAATGGCCAAGCCAATAGGCTGAATTAAATCTGCTCAATTGCATGCATGGTGCACACTTATTTATGTTTTATTTCTAATTTTTAATTGACCTCACATGGGCCAGACAGGAACAGTCAAAAGGCCAGATGTAGCCCGAGGGCAAAACATGCCCAGTTCTAAGTTAGACAGTCTTCAAACAACAAAACTGTATAGATGTATAGTAAGCAGATCACATTACAGCAAGATGCAAGAGCTTCCTCACCTCAAATTATTTTGATCAAAGCTAAATTCTAGTTCATTGAAGCAAATTATTATAACACCTTCTTATGGCTTTTTTTATAGGCAGTTAATGTTGTTTAATTATTTTTCAAGCAGGCAAATCCCTCCCCTCCCCCCCACATCCTTCCCTTTTCCTTTTGAGTACATCCTAGGAGGAAATGAAAACAGCTTGATGTGTGGGTTGTTGTTGTTTTTTCCAGGAATAGTGGCAGTTCTTTTTTGTGGAGTTACACAGGCCCATTATACATACAACAATCTGTCAGCAGACTCCAAAATGAGAACTAAACAGGTAAAGTATGCAGTCTTCCCATCTTTCTGACCCCTTGTTTGCTTTGTATCTTCTGCAACAGTAATTGGGTATCTCACAAAGCTGACAATATAGCCTGGAGAGATTTCATTAAACCAAAAAAACTAAAGTTTGTATCTTCATTAAGGGAGAAGTATATCAACAACTGATCTTTGCTAGCAAAGGCACTGGCAATTTTTCTGCTAAGCAAAATTTAAGAAAGGTCTGTTTTTCTTTTCAGGCCAGAAGCATCAAATGTCACCGTAGATATGAAATGCGCAGAGCTGGTGATGGTTTTCAGTGCTTTTTATTAAATCAGCCTGGGCCTCTACTGGACATATACTTTGCTCAAGGGTTTATAACTTGATGGAGTTTCTATCTTGTCTTTTGCTTGGAATCACTGATACACATCTCCGTGTCATCTCACAAATGGGGATTAAAATTCCTTTAGGTGAAGCATGCTTTTCAAAACTGAGAATCATAATTCAAGGAAGATAGCTCTTTCGTTCTGTAGATTGTAATCATGAAATTGATCTATTTTGTTGCCAGAAATAGATAAAGCGGTTAGGTAATTTTAGACCATGTTTAATGATGTGGTCATTAAAAATGACTCAATTTGATGGTGATGTTACTTTTTTTTTCAAAATGTGACTATTTCAGGTACCTCCTGTTTATTCTACCAACTTAGATCCATTAACTCCAGGTAAATATTGGAGGTGTTAGATTTTCAAATAAGAAAAAGTACAGGCCAAAAAGTTCTGTAGAGAATATAGCACATGTAATAGATGAATTGTCTGAGTGTTCTCTAGAGCAGGGGTGTCAAACTTGCAGGACGCGGGCCAGATGTGTCATGTGCTGGCCCTGCCCCCACCCGGTTTAGCAAAGGGGGGGAAAGTCCCGATACATCACTTGATGCCACCATGACGATGCGAGTTTGACACCCTGCTCTAGAGAAAGAAAACACTTAAACATATATGCTGTTGGGGCAGAGGTTTTGCAGGATCAGAAACTTAGAAATTTAGAAATTTTTAGAAATAGAAATTTCTATAATCAGTGAAAATAATCAGTCAGCTTACTTTCAACATCTAAGCACTCTATTTGTAACCCTCAAGTAAATAGCTAGTGCTTTCATTGATTCTATTGTTCAACCTCCTTACCTTGTTATGCTTTAGTGCCTTTAGTATTAGTTTTGATACATCATATCACTTCTAGTTATTGTTTTCATAATCGTTTATTACTTCTATAATCAAAAATTATACTTGTTACTGTTCAGCTTTCTTTACTTTTGTCTGGGATGCAAATGTTCATCTTAATTGCCCATGAAATCCTGAAATGAAAACAACTTCATAGATACTTTCTCATGTACTTATATAGCTGTTTTTTTTACTGTAGTACTAATATGATTACATAATAATCAGTAGTGGGTTTCAATTTAGTTTGCTACCAGTTCACTCATACGCGTGCACTTGCGCACACCCGCAACATTTCTGTGCATGCGCAGAAGCGTCCAGGCGGGGGGACAGAGCATCCCACCACCACTGCTACCAATTCGCCCCGATCCGGAGCAAACTGGTAGCAACCCACCACTGATAATAATCCTAAACTTCTGCTCAAAAATTGTATCTTGATAGCAGCATAACAAATATTTCTGCAGCTAGGCAGATACCACCATCATAGATTCCAATCAATGATTTACTTTTCAGAGATGAATTATCTAGCCATAACAAACTTGAAAAACATCATTCAATCAAGCATCGAGAATTAATCAAAGTCAATCTGTGTAGAATAAACGTCTATCTTTGTTAATCTGATCCATGTGTACATCTGAGATGGAATACTGTACAATAAAGCAAATCATCTGATCTTCATAGAAGTGATTGGATGATTTGCTGTTCCCTTATTTGACAACAGTATTTGATCACTGCATCATAATTATTTGCTGAGCTGTGATTTATCAATGTTCATACACATTATGATATGTCTGGGTATAACATAGAAAGGGATAGAAATGATAGTAGTAGCAAATGAAATATGGAATGGAATGGAATGGAATGCCTGCTCACCACTGCTGGGATTTCTTCCAGTTAGAAAGCAATGTATTTGATTAATTCCTTGATATCATGAACAGATTGTGAGCTCACAGTCATCTTTAGTATCTAATTTTGCCTCTTGTATAAAAAAATACAATCAAGTCACATTGTTGAAGATTATCCATTAGGAGCTGAATGCATTAGAATCCCAACCTTCAGGATTCTGTACACACTAAGAAGCACTGAATTTAATAGCTTTCTTCTGGTTAGGCTTCTCAAGAATTCCAGATAGCTATTCTGAAGTGCCTGAATTGGTAATATTTTAAAATATGTAGGTTAAATATAAATGTTTTATTACATGGAATAGAGAGCTAGTTAGGTGGTGAAAGCATCAGGCTAGAAACTGTGAGCCCATGTGTTCTATTCCCACTTTGGGCCCAAAGTCAGCTGTGACCTTAAACCAGCCATTCTCTCTCAGCCCTAGGAAGTAGGCAATGGCAAACTATTCCCAAAATCTTGCCAAGAAAATTGAAGGGATATGTCTAGACAAGTCCTGGAGTCAACATTGAGGGAACAAAAAAGGAAGTCAAAGGGGCAAAGAAAATTAGCATGATGTAAGGGGGGGGGAAACAATTTACTAAGGATTTCATTTTGTTGTCTTATATAAAGTAATTTGGAGTAACATTCAGAAGGCCTCATTTGAAATGAAAGTGGGAAAATAATTAAAGTTATCCAGATGTTTCATCAAAACAACCACTTAGGCTTATTAACAAGAACATTATACCTAGTAAGATTTTTACTACTTTTCCACAACTTCTGCTTTATTTGTTCTTTCATTGTACAATAAGTGTATAATCTCTTTTAATTATGATATTCTAAAAACAGAACTGGAGGCTGATATGATGCTTTTTCTGTGATAGAATACACAAATCAAGAAACTTATAATCAAATTACTCATTTGAAGATATCTAATTGAAACTGCATGAAGAAGACAATGGAAAACCTTTTTAGCATCTTTCTGTAAAGAATGTTAGTCTGAATGTGAAAATTTCTTTGAGACCTTGAAATTAACATCAAAATAACACTAACATTGTATATCCAAGTAAAATTTTTGGGAAGGATTATTCTAAGCACAACAGCCACCCATAGAAACTATAGGATAAAGACTGCTGAGAGAAATTTGTTAAATGAATTAGATATAGATTTGTAACCTTTTTTAGTATCTGTACTACGTTGTTCATTTACATGAGAATAAGCCTACTGAAAGTAGTGAATATGTATGTTTGATATTACTGTAACACCTCCACATGCCTCATCTCCCTAGCACTGCGTTGAACTGACTTTTTCTTCAGTCAATCATTGAAAATAAAATAATTACATAAATTGATAGAATATGAATAGTAGTGTTATTTGAAATATTGCTGACCTGGACAGCTAGTCCTTGTCAATCTCAATTTGGTACTTTGAACAACTCTGAACACACAGGCCAGATTTAGCAACTTTTATTGAAATGAGCACACCAATATGCTCATGGATATGTGAACCTACTGTGCCTTATATTTGTCATGCTGGACTTCAGAAAGGATCTATTTCACCAATTTTTTAATGGGCTTTGTCAATGGAAAAGGAAAGGAAGGGATATTCCAAGCACATTTCAGTGAATGGTTTCAGCATTATTATCAGCATATGACTCACACCTTACAGCAAGAAGGAAAAACCTCTACCCATAGGCCTAATCTAGTCTGTAGAGTTGCTGCATCTGACCCACAAGTGGCTTTGTCCTCCTTGAAATCCTGGCACTAAAGACATGATCAATATAAAGGCAGAGGAGTAGCTATTCTGAGAAGTCTGCAGCTGAACTACAACTACCAGCAGTTAACATCAACATGGCCACATCTGAAGAGTTTTTAGTCTCCCAACCTTAGTATATTATAAAGGGCAGTTTCTTTCTTGTTCAGATCAATGACTCTAAGATGGAAGACTTTGTGTAATCAAGATGATAAACTTAACATCACTAACTTCCTTGTCAGAATGGCTGGATTCCTTGAAGCTTTCTGCTTTGTCCAGATCTACGTATATGATAAATTTACAAAGTGCCTACTTCACAATCATCATTAAAGCTGAAGGTTTGGTATGGATTCTCAATTTAATAGCTAGCACTAGCTGTACTACAGCTACTTCTTAGCAATAAATATTTGGAAGACTCCAAACAGCTATCCTTTTATATCTGGCATTCTATGGAATTGTATGGCATTTAGCTAGACAGCAAGTGGTTTTGTCTAAGACTGACAAAAGGTAGACCTCATTCTTTTTAATAAAACCTTTCTGGACATGGTCCACTACATTTCGCTGCAGTGCTAGATAGGGCAAGCCTTTTATAGACAATTAATCTGCTCTTCCCAAACTGAACAATCACCTCAAAGTCAGGATTTATTGGTACTTATTGTACCACTGACTTTTGACTTTCAACAAAGTAGAAAACATTCTTGGTCTAGAAAGAATAAAGTGAAGGAGCTGATGGTTAGCAAGACTGTTTTTTCTGCAAGAAAAATATAGCTTATTATTTTCATGAATAAGCTATTAATCTTTGAATTTTAAAATAATCGATAACCTCTTCAAATAACTAGCATAATTTCCTACATGCATCAGAAGTAAAATATTACTATTGACAAATATCCACAGTACATTTTCAGGAAGGAAATGAACCAGCATCATAGTACCAGCCTTTAAAAAAAAGACAAATGAATAATATTTATTCATAGTATTTATAAGGAATGGCCACTAATTTAACTAATTTAAGAAGACAAAGAAATTTAACTTTCTACCACAATTCTTAGTCATTTCTCAATAAAACTTTATTTTCAATAAATGTAGATCCATCAACATCCAGATTTGTATCCACTTTACTTATGTGACCGCTATTGCTTTCCAGCTCCCCAAGATGTTAATATACTAATTAATCTTTTCTTTATT